TATATATATATATATATATATAAACTTGGACTAGTAACAAAACCACAAAGATATAATTACTCTAGCCAACAATCAAAAGCAAGATATTAGGTTCGTCAAACAATTGAATTAATAATTGAGAAAACTGCAGAGGATATTATGATCTCTAAGAGGCAGCTCCTATATATATCCACCCCAAGCTCATGCATATACATGTCTAGCCTACGCTTGAAACAATTCAGTGATCCCACGTAGAATATATTACCTCTTAATAGGTTCCATAAATCAACAACCCTATGTCCAAAGCAATATTTTCCCCAGGTCTTTCCTGAATCTAAACTCATCCAATTAATATCCATGTTTCGAGATCAATTTTGTGTTGATATATTTAATCAGTCTTCCTCCCCCTTTAACAAGTCTTCCCCCCTCCCCTTAAACCAGTCTTCCTCCCCCTTCAACCAGTCTTCCTCCCCCCTTCAACCAGTCTTTCTCCCCCTTCAACCAGTCTTTCTCCCCCCCCCCCACTTTAACCAGTCTTCCTCTAAAATTGTATTCACAACCCCTTTGTTATACACCTTCGTCTTCGCATATATTTCAATCAAGCCTCTTGTCTCCTCAAACCTCAGAATAACAATTATACACACAAAATTCATGTATTTTTGTGCTCATTACTCTGGATTTAAATAGCGGTCATTAACAAATTGATATACCATGCCTAGGTAACAACCTAGTCATGTAATTAGTTCTCTTGAATCCTCTCAACGTACTAAATAAGAGAGTGCTAAAATGCATGAACCCAAGCCATCTACCTAACCTAACCATCCTTCGCTTAGAAAATTTGGACATTTGTGAGCCGTAACGTTTCATAGGACCCCGTATTATGCACGTTAGGTCACAACGGGTCAGGTCATCAGTACGTTCACGATGGCTACAGAAAGCCGTCCTATCAACTACGACGTCGTTAGGGCAACCATCGTACCAAAGGCCACGTGCTATGGAAAAGTAGCAGCTCAACCAAATCTACATTTTCTATAGGTATTTGTTGGTTAGGTTAGGTAGGAGGCTTGGGTTCGTACCTTTCTGATCATGGTTGGATTTTGTACGTTGTAGCAAATCAAGAGAAGTAATTGGCTGGTGATAAGACGAGCAGAGACTTAAATAAAAGACCAGCCCCAAAGTTGCTTCTAAATCTACTAATTCTACTAATTCTTTAGTGCATTTGTGATAAGTTGGTCACACCTCTAACGCCCAGGTAATATTCTTAACACTAAGCATGAAAAAAACTCACTTATTAGTATTCTTGAGTTTTTGAGAGAAAACGAAAATTATTTTAATATTCTATGATTTTACTTTTAGTCTTCAGTTTATCTTTTGTGAACACGTGTAAACCGACTGGAAATGTGAGTGATGCCACATTAATAACTTCACTTCTCACTTCACCTGCCCACGAGATTGCACAGTAATATTTGCTGCACGTAAATAATTCTGTTAACAGGTATATTATAATGTTCTGAAGTAAAGATATGAGAATATTGCCCATCCTGGTGTTGATTATTTACGGCATAACCATAGCAGTAAATTACTCAATGAAATAACAACTCTACAGATCATTTAGTACACTGTACCGGATATGATGGCTCTCCTGGTTCGACGGTGTCGATTTGTGCTGTCTAATTCCTCGACAATAACTTGTTATACACAAGTACTCGGGACGACAACACGACACGTCTATAAACTGTCAAGGGTTAAAATGGCTACATGGCAATGATTCCCCGTTTTCTCCCGAGGAAATTTCCACCGGGGTCTCGTTTTCTATGAATGATTAAAGCTAGTACAAAACAGAACCAATATTATCTGCTTATTGTATTGTAAGTTAGTGAATTGATGTCGGGTTTTCCGACAATATGTGATATTTAAATCTTATGAATATCATCCTATCTCCCTTCACAGAAAAATGCCAGAAAAGATATTATTGAGAATTGAAACACTCTCTCCACTTACTTGCTTTGATAAAGCCCAATAAGCTCATGAATTTATACACCATTTGATTGTAGTTTGAGAAGAGGGATCAAAGAGCCGAAGCTCAACCTCTACAAACACAATTAGGTGAGGGCAAACTCTGCAACGTTATGATATGTTTAATGGCAACGGTGTGTGCAACCTGCAGTATTCTTTCAATATCCCTGAAAGATTTCATTTACCTTGATTTCTCAATAATATCTCTCTAGATACGTCTTTAGGGCGGAGTATGGAACTTCACAGGTCTCGGGAACACGATCCCCTTGTCCCCCCTGTCACAATGTGTCTTCTGGTATGTGTCTCTCTTGTCCCCCTTTTAATGTGTCTTCTGGTATGTGTCTCCGTTGTCCCCCCTGTCACAATGTATCTTCTGGTAGATGTCTCCCTTGTCCCCCTGTCACAATATATCTTCTGGCATGTGTCTCTCTTGTCCCCCTGTCACAATGTGTCTTCTGGCATGTGTCTCCTTTGCCCCCCTTTTAATGTGTCTTCTGGTATGTGTCTCCCTTGTCCCCCTGACACAATATATCTTCTGGTATGTGTCTCCCTTCTCCCCCCCCCCCTGTCACAATGTATCTTCTGGGACATTATGACAGGCTTACGTTATAACTTCTCATTAGCACTGTAGGTCAAGTATAGAGGGCTTAACTCACCGTTGCTATTACAGGTCAACTAACTAGAGTTAGAAACACTGTCGCTAGAAGTCATATATATATATATATATATATATATATATATATATATATATATATATATATATATATATATATATATATATATATATATATATATATATATATATATGCAGTGTCTGGCACACAGTTGTCGGGAGTCACGTGTTTCACTGTTGGAGGCCTCGTTATTAATGAAGATGAGGTGATATTTGCGTAGTTAATGGCCTCCAGAGGCAAAGCTTTGGTGTTGTCAGGGAAGAGATGAAGCTTTTAAGGCTCACTGTTCATTGCTCAAAGCCGAAAATAGACTTATTTGGGTAGCTGATGAGTTGTGAAGACAAGTATGAATATTAGTGTGCTGGTCTGCCTCACACACACACACACTTGGGGGGGGGGTAAAAGTGCATTGGTCTGCTTTACACACTTAAAGATAAGTGTGTTGGTCTGAGTCACACACTTAGAAAGAAGTGTGCTGGTCTGCTTCACACACTTAAAGATAAGTGTGTTGGTCTGAGTCACACAACCTGACCAACATCAGAAAAACCAAACTCAGAAATAACGAAACAATCGACAAAAATAGCACCAATAAGAGATTCAACATAGTAGAAATCCTTCAGATCAACCATACTCATCCAGATATCAACATTCAATTCATATCAAGACACGAATCTAATCAGCACGAACACAAGAGAACTGTCAGTTGATATCTCAGCTCAGCACTATACCACCGCCCTCAAGCACTATACCACCGCCCTCAAGCACTATACCACCGCCCTCAAGCACTATACCACCGCCCTGATATCACTCCCAGCTCAACACCGTTCCCTATATGTATTATATATTGCGGAATTGTTGTTTTGTATTCGCTATCCCTCTGCCTCTGAGGATGCTAAGTTGACCTTACCGTAACATGTCGAGCTCGTCAGAAAGGAAAGTTGTTTGAGTTTATTTTTCAACTTCCATCCCAGGAGGTGTGATGGTGCAGAACTATAGACAGAGGGCGGTGGTAAGGTGCTTCAGGGAGGAGGTATAGTGCTTCAGGGAGGAGGTATAGTGCTTGAGGGCAGTGGTATAGTGCTTGAGGGCGGTGGTATAGTGCTTGAGGGCGGTGGTATAGTGCTTGAGGGTGGTGGTATAGTGCTTGAGGGCGGTGGTATAGTGCTTGAGGGTGGTGGTATAGTGCTTGAGGGCGGTGGTATAGTGCTTGAGGGCGGTGGCATAGTGCTTCAGGGCGGTGGTATAGTGCTTCAGGGCGGTGGTATAGTGATTCAGGGCGGTGGTATAGTGATTCAGGGCGGTGGTATAGTGCTTGAGGGAGGAGGTATAGTGCTTGAGTGTAACACGGGTTAGGGTTCCTCTCTCTACTTCTCTTTCCTTCTTTTCCCTCTACCCGTATTCTTACTTTTTATTCTCTACCAAGGGACTCCAAAACTTTTACCAAAGCCAACTCCACGCCACGTGGTCCTAAGACGATTGACCGACTTAGGATTCTACACCCAGTATGACGTGACCTAGGCTTTGAGCAAAACCCTAGAGTCGCCTCTACGCTGCCACCACCAGACCAGCAACACAGCAATGATCGAGGTCTGGATCGTGGTATAGTGCTTGAGGACGGTGTTATAGTGCTTGAAGACGGTGGTATAGTGCTTGAGGGCGGTGGTGTAGTGCTTGAGGGCGGTGGTATAGTGCTTGAGGGCGGTGGTATAGTGCTTGAGGGCGGTGGTATAGTGCTTGAGGGCGGTGGTATAGTGCTTGAGGGCGGTGGTATAGTGCTTGAGGGCGGTGGTATAGTGCTTGAGGGCGGTGGTATAGTGCTTGAGGACGGTGTTATAGTGCTTGAAGACGGTGGTATAGTGCTTGAGGGCGGTGGTATAGTGCTTGAGGGCGGGATGTATGGATGAGAAGGGCGGCACACAGCGAGGAGAGTGAAGGCTCTGAATATTGACGCGCGCTGGGACACCTCCCATTCACCCGGGCTCCCAAACCCGGGTCGAAGCCCCGTAATCAAGAGCCTGGCAGCCGCTCGCATCATCTCCAACATTCAATATTGATTTTCCTGACATTTCTACCTTGTTTCATTCGTTCTATTTACATTTAAGATTTATCATCATCCGCGTTTCTCTTATCTTTCGTCAAAATTCAATTTCTATCCCTTTTTTCGCCATATTTTTAAAGTTTAATCCAATCCCGTTCTCACAGATCTTATTCGACGTCCCTCTGGTCGCTTCAGGTGACCGGCCACGTCCCCTTACCCCTAGCTGGATAGATCGTCCCTCAGGGATTACCAATCATCCGTTAAACCTGATCTCCCTTCTCTATCCCTGGCAGGTACGAGCTGCTATGGCTGCCCCTAGCCGCCAACTGCACGGAGAAGATCCTGGCCCCTCCCTCGGATGTGCACTGGGTGTGGTACGTCCATATGTTGGCGCCAGAACACTATGCCCGCGACTGCAAGAACATCGTTGGACAGATCGTCGACCACAAGCTGTTTAAGTTAAAAGTGAGTTGAGTCGGGTTTTGTTGGTTCAGTGTGATGGTTGTTTTTTAGTAAATACATAACGTTGCTACAACTTTTGTTTTTAAAGATGTTGTAACGTTGTAGAAATATCCTTATCATCTAGTCCGTTCTCATGATCCAGTCCGTCCTCATCATCCAGCCCGTCCTCATCAACCAGCCCGTCCTCATCAACCAGCCCGTCCTCATCAACCAGCCCGTCCTCATCAACCAGCCCATCCTCATCAACCAGCCCGTCCTCATCAACCAAACCCGTCCTCATCAACCAGCCCGTCCTCATCAACCAGCCCATCCTCATCAACCAGCCCGTCCTCATCAACCAGCCCGTCCTCATCAACCAGCCCGTCCTCATCAACCAGCCCATCCTCATCAACCAGCCCGTCCTCATCAACCAGCCCGTCCTCATCAACCAGCCCGTCCTCATCAACCAGCCCATCCTCATCAACCAGCCCATCCTCATCAACAAAGCCCAGATGCTCATTAATCCAGCCGCTGAATCCGCTGTTTATGAATGAAAAACAGTTTACACACGACTCATTACGATTAACCTCAAATCATTTCTCGAGCACTGCTTCGCTAAAGACCTCTGTTCGAACCGCAACGCCATTAAAGGCTTCACCCACGTAGTTCAAATAACTGGCAACAGAACCTAGCACCTACCTTAACATACAGCTAAAGCTTGGCTGGCCTGCAGGACCTCAGGATAAACACCAAAGCTTGACCAGCTTACAGGATTTCGAGATGAACACCACAGCTTGAGTCTTGTATGAATGGGTCTGTGAGTTTGTGAGTGTATGGGTCTGTAGGTCTATATTTCAATTGATCTGTTAGTATTTGGGGTCTATGGCTCTTTGAGTCTGTGGATCTATCAGGCTGTGAGTCAGTGAGTTTATGAATCTGTGGGTCTATGAACCTCTGGGTCCATGAGTCTGTTAATCAGTGGGTTTGTGGGAGACTGTCTGCAGCTATCCCTTGCCTCCTAGCTCGTGTGTGGATAGCAGTTAAGGGTCCTGTTATCATCGTCTGCAGCGTCCACCGTTCAAGGATGGATAACGACACCTTGTGTGTGTGAGGTAGGAAGGAGGGGAAGGTTCTGAGGGTCTGGTTGAGGGGCGTTGAGCGATGTTATGAAGGGAAGACTAGAGGGGAAACACAGCATTTGCGTTCACTGTCTCACTTTCCCCTCTGCCTATTGTGTTCACATGCTTGAGTAGACAAGGGATTGTTTAACACTTTACACACACACACCCACACACACGCACACACACACACACACACACACACACACACACACACACACACACACACACACACACACGCACACACACACGCACACACACACGCACACACACACGCACACACACACACACACACACACACACACACACACACACACACACACACACACACACACACACGCACACACACACACGCACACACACACACACACACGCACACACACACACACACACACACACACACACACACACACACACACACACACACACACACACACATACACACCCACTCACACACAGCGGCTATGGGCCTTGCTGCTGAGTAGACAGCACTCTGGGGTCGTAGTCCTAAGGTCCTGGGTTCGATCCTCGGCAGAGGCATAAATAAATGGGTAGAGTTTCTTTCACCTTGATACCCCCTGTTCACCTAGCAGTAAATAGGTACCTGGGAGTTAGACAGCTGCTACGGGCTGCTTCCTGGAGGGTGTATAACAAAATAGAGGCCTGGTCGAGGACTGGGCCGCGCGGACGCTAAGCCCCGAAATCATCTCAAGATAACCTCAAGAAGATTACCAGTAATTGGGGACCTTTGTACAAATTGATTGGCGGATCGTATTCTGATGAAAATAAATGACGGTGAGGCCTAAGAAGGAAATGAGTTAGAAAAGTTTTAATAAGTTCTCATATAAATTGGAAAAGTTTGAATTCAGGACAGACCTGGGTAAATACTGGTCTGAAAACAAGGTTGTTGACTTATGGAACGAATCACCAGGCGATGTAATAACGTGACACCGCTAGTTTTAAAAATAGATTTGTTTAAAAAAAATAGTGAAGCACCACAATACAGTGAGGCAGCACAGTATAGTGAAGCATCACAATATAGTGAAGCACCACAGTATAGTGAAGCATCACAATATAGTGAAGCACCACAATATAGTGAAGCACCACAATACAGTGAAGCACCACAATAACAGTGAGGCAGCACAGTATAGTGAAGCACCACAATAACAGTGAAGCACAACAGTATACTGAGGCAGCACAGTATAGTGAAGCACCACAATAACAGTGAAGCACAACAGTATACTGAGGCAGCACAGTATAGTGAAGCACCACAATAACAGTGAGTCAGCACAGTATAGTGAAGCACCACAATACAGTGAGGCAGCACAGTACAGTGAAGCACCACAATACAGTGAAGCACCACAATAACAGTGAGGCAGCACAGTATAGTGAAGCATCACAATAACAGTGAGGCAGCACAGTATAGTGAAGCACCACAATAACAGTGAGGCAGCACAGTATAGTGAAGCACCACAATACAGTGAAGCACCACAGTATAGTGAAGCACCACAATAACAGTGAGGCAGCACAGTATAGTGAAGCATCACAATACAGTGAGGCAGCACAGTATAGTGAAGCATCACAATACAGTGAGGCAGCACAGTATAGTGAAGCATCACAATACAGTGAGACATCACAGTATAATGAAGCATCACAATACAGTGAGGCAGCACAGTATAGTGAAGCACCACAATAACAGTGAGGCAGCACACTACAGTGAAGCACCACAATAACAGTGAAGCACAACAATAACAGTGAAGCACCACAATACAGTGAGGCAGCACAGTATAGTGAAGCATCACAATACAGTGAGGCAGCACAGTATAGTGAAGCACCACAATAACAGTGAAGCACAACAATAACAGTGAGGCAGCACAGTATAGTGAAGCACCACAATACAGTGAAGCAGCACACTACAGTGAAGCACCACAATAACAGTGAGGCAGCACACTACAGTGAAGCACCACAATAACAGTGAAGCACAACAATAACGGTGAGGGAGCACACTATAGTGAAGCATCACAATACAGTGAGGCAGCACACTACAGTGAAGCACTCCACTACAGTGTGGTGGCACAATACAGGCCAGAGAGTCTGGGATTCATTGCTCACAGTAAATACAGGAGAGAGTCACTACCATTTTAATTGCTTACTGTTCTTGTTCTTTAAGTTTCATTGTTTTATTTGTAATATTACAATTTACTTCACTGGTAAACAAAGACATTTTTTGATTTTCAAAAACTATGAATTATTATGATTTTGCTTTGTTATAGGAAAGTAATTTTCTATATGAATTTAAATACGTTCATGTCATCCCCCCTTTTTTATGAATGAAAGTAGAAGGGGAGAACAGTTGTTCTCCCGTTCCGTTGTTCTGCAGTTGAGAACATATCTCCTGTGGAGAACAGTATCGTTTTCAAGCTTTTGGAATATGTGACAAGGGTATATATTCACAACGGGAGATGGTCCACGCTTTCCGCTATTCATGCACTGAGTATACTTCAGTTCTGGACTATGATCAGGATTTTGGTATATTTGGTGACTGGTCAGTAAGCTCTGGTGGAAAGCTTAATAACCCTCCAGAGGTTGATAAGCCGCGAAACCCTGTTCGAGAAATGTTCGAATATCGTCGTTGACCAGACCACACACTAGAAGGTGAAGGGACGACGACGTTTCGGTCCGTCCTGGACCATTCTCAAGTCGATTCTTCTAGTGTTTCACCTTCTAGTGTGTGGTCTGGTCAACTTACTTTAGCCACGTTATTGTGACTCATCGCCTGCATTCGAATGCCGTCAGTTGTGAGTCGTGTGTAAACCGGGTTTCCACTCATAAACAGCTGATTTGGCGTCGTGAGGGAGTGATTGTCTGAATGGAGCATCTCTCAATTAACAGGCAATCCTTCTAGTTATATCTCTCTAATCTCCTTATTCTCAGCCTCTCTCCTCCTCCCTCTCCTCTCCTGGGCTCCACTTTAAAATGCTCCTCGTCGAACTGTAATGATCCAGTGTCTCCACTTTCCGTAGTGGAGACAATGAATCAATGATAATTAAGTACTTTCCGATGGTCTAGGATCCCTCGCGTTATTGTACGGGCTCTTGCCACACCACACTCTCATAGCATAGTTTGTTAGTTAATCTCTCTCTCTCTCTCTCTCTCTCTCTCTCTCTCTCTCTCTCTCTCTCTCTCTCTCTCTCTCTCTCTCTCTCTCTCTCTCTCTCTCTCTCTCTCTCTCTCTCTCTCTCTCTCTCTCTCTTCTCTCTCTCTCTCTCTCTCTCTCTCTCTCTCTCTCTCTCTCTCTCTCTCTCTCTCTCTCTCTCTCTCTCTCTCTCTCTCTCTCTCTCTCTCTCTCTCTCTCTCTCTCTCTCTCTCTCTCTCTCTCTTTTTCCGCCTGCAGTGTCATCTGTTTCTAGTGTTTGCAATATCCTGGTGCAGGAGAGTTCAAGCACTATAAACCATCAAGCCGCTCTACCGTCTCGCTTCACGCAGGTCGGCGTTCAATCCCCGACCGTCCACCAAGGGACTGGGCACCAATCCTTTACCCCCGTCCCATCCCAAGTCATTATTCTGACCCCCTTCCAAGTGCTATATAGTAGAAATGGCTTGTTAATACTTCCCTTCCACTTCCTGATATACTACACATTCAGGCTTCGAGAGATCTCACTCTACTGTCTCACTATATATATATATATATATATATATATATATATATATATATATATATATATATATATTGTTAGCTGGAGAGGCCATATTTCTCTCCTGCAGGCGCTGAAGAAGGCCCACAAGCGAACCCGGAAGCTGTGGATGGAGATGTACCCGGATGAGACTTACGATATCATCTTAGATGGGTCGCAGCCGGTGTCCCTCTCCCAGTACACGTCCCTCATCAGCTACGACCTGGAGGCCGCCGTCGCCAGACAGAGCATGTTCTACTACCAGGTAAGAGAGGCTCCACGGGGGAGAAACCTGGATGATTTTCCAGTGGACACTTGGATGCTGGAAGATCCAGCATCTTCCAGCACCAAATGTCTGCTGGAATATGCTGATGGTCTGGTTGTGTGAGGTTATATACTCCTTGGTGGAGCCCCTGTTGTTTGTGCATTGTTAATGGCCTAATTGGGGATACAGGTGTTGTGTTGGTTGTATCTTCGTATCTGCCCACTTGGGGATTGTCAGCCCCGAAGATCTCAGTATATAGGCAAGACTTTTTTTGTCTATTCGATTAACAATGCACAAACAACAGGGGTCCATCAAGGGGCATATAATCTCCACACACAACCAGACCATCACCAGAGACATCTTAACAAGCAACACAGAAATAATCGACAGGTATAAAGACATCAGAAGACTGGACATCAGTCAGGCCCTACACATACAAAAGTCAAGACCAACAACCAGTTAACACGTAATTACATTCTACCCACTTCAAGACCCCGAGACAACACAGAGACAGGAGGAGCAAGCACATAAGCTGCTTATTTTGATGCCTGTAATAGCCTATTACAGGCATCAATACAGCCTATTAGCCTTTATGTTATGTCATTCATCCACTTGTTCACCTCAATCGCATCCTGTACCACCTCACCCCAAGCGAATATAGGCCTGTGCCAAATCATGGTAAATTTATCTTTGAAAATATAAGGAGTATCTTGCGAAACGCATCCTTAGGTTACAGACCATGATAAAGTGCGAAAATGACTTTGGAGAGTTAATATTTCAACTTCCCTCGACAGTCACGAAAAACACGAGAAATATCGAGAAGATTCGTATTAGAATCATTAATCTTACCCTTTCGGTCATATTCAATAACATATGTCTACAAGAAAGTCTGTTACCAAAATATACTAAGATATGTATATATATATATATATATATATATATATATATATATATATATATATATATATATATATATATATATATATATATATATATATATTAGTATATTTTGGTAGCAGTCTTTCCTGTAGACATATATTATTAAATATGACCGAAAAAGTAAGATTAATAATTCTAACACGAATTTTCTCAATCTTTCGTACATTTCTTTTCACTGTTGGAGGTAAATCAAAAATCAATTCTCCAAAATTCATTTTTATTTCTAGTCTGACGCGACACGAGCGCGTTTCGTAAAACTTATTACATTTTCAAAGACTTTAGTTCAAAAATACACAACTGAATAGAACTTACGCATCTCCGATTTTATATCTACATTTGAGTGAGGTGGGAGGGGTGATGTGGCATTAACACAAGACAGAACAAGAGGGGATATTAATAGGGTATTAAAAGTATCAACACAAGACAGAACACGAAACAATGGGTATTGAATAGAAGTGTTTGTAGAAAGCCTATTGGTCCATATTTCTTGATGCTTCTATATTGGAGCGGAGTCTATTCTACCCACCTCAAGACTCCGCTCCAATATAGAAGCATCAAGAAATATGGACCAATAGGCTTTCTACAAACACGTTAATTTCTTCGTGTAAGTCACGAAGAAATTAACACGTAATAAACAATGTGACAGTGTCAGACCTCAAAGCAAGAATCAAGACACGAATTTCTTTAAGTACTTTTGTAGTTAATAATAAATCTTCAGAAGGATGGATTTACATTGATTGATAAAGATTAAGCCACCCAAGAGGTGGCACGGGCATGAATAGCCCGTAAGTGGTACAATTTTTTTTTTTCCAGTGTTCTGAGGTTGCATTTAACCATCAAGCTGTTATCGTGGGGGAGGATACTGCTTCACAGTCTTTATGAGGGTGTCCAGCTGCTGGACACCTTTGTTGACCAGGAGAGTGGCTGTGTTGATGGCTTCAGGGTGGCCACTGCATGATTCAGGAACTCTTAAAGCTCTTCTAAGGTCACTGGTTGCTTCACATTCCAGAAGATAGTGAAGTAATGGCTTTTCTGTGACAGTTTGGCAGAAGATGCACTCTCTCTGTCGGGGTTCACCAATCTCCCAGTTGCATCTGTAACCTAGACGTAGTCAATATAGCCTAACTGCTATTTCCCTGTGGATTCCTTTTGGGATATTTAACCTTTCTAATTTGGTTGCCTGAAGATACCATGTTGCAGATGGCGAACCTTCAGCTATTCTCTGGTGAAGGTCGGCTTTGTTGACATGTGAGAGTTTTTTGGTGATGATGTTTTTTATGTTCTCTAGGCTGGGTTGAATTGTTTTATGTATCACTGGATGACGAGTTGCCAATTTAGCAATTTCATCAGCTTTTTCATTTAATGGGATTCCAATATGGGATGGGATCCAGTTTAAAGTTATGTTGAGGCCTTTGCCTTTAGCGACTGCTCCTTGATACAAAATGGTGGTAATTATTTCCACATTATCTTTCCACTGTTTTTGTCCTAGTATTTGAAGTGCAGCTTTTGAGTCTGTGTGTATGATTGCATTTTGAGTGTTTTGTGCAATCACATATGCGAATGCCTGTTGTATGGCGAACAGCTCAGTTTGGGTTGATGATACTAGTCCTCCCAGTCTCCAATATGCCTGTACGCTGGTCGTGCAAAGAGCAGCGCCAGCACTCTCATTTTCTGTGTCCACCGTTCCGTCTGTGAAGATGTGGGTGGGATTTACATTTCAGCGGAGTAGATATATAGGGAGGAATGAGGTGACGTGAAGTGAGGTGAGAGGCAATGTCTCTATTGAGATAAGAGGACATTAATAAGGTATTATACAGATAAATGTGTATCAATGATCCAATTCAAATCGGCCTTTAAAATCAAGTTTCAGCAAAATAGAGAACACATCACAATAAAAGAGATGAAACACATAACCCAACCCACACGTGTTTCATTTACATGTGTGTTGAGTTGATTAGCTTTGTCAATATTAGTGTGAAGGTCATAGCAGATGTTATTTTTTATTTTCTCCTGCAGGTGTCTTTACCGCACTGCCTGACGAAGCCTTTCCTGAAGGAGGCGGTGGAGAGGTACAAGAAGTTCATCTACCTGAAGTCAACCCATCCGGCAGAGTTCCTGGTCCCTTGTTATGATATGGACATCATCTGGCATGCTCATATGGTAGGTCTCATGCTCACACCAGCCCTCATGTTCTCACCAGCCCTCATGGTCACACCAGCCCTCATGTTCTCACCAGCCCTCATGGTCACTCCAGCCCTCATGTTCTCACCAGCCCTCATGGTCACACCAGCCCTCATGTTCTCACCAGCCCTCATGGTCACACCAGCCCTCATGTTCTCACCAGCCCTCATGTTCTCACCAGCCCTCATGGTCACACCAGCCCTCATGTTCTCACCAGCCCTCATGGTCACACCAGCACTCATGGTCACACCAGCCCTCATGTTCTCACCAGCCCTCATGGTCACACCAGCCCTCATGTTCTCACCAGCCCTCATGGTCACACCAGCCCTCATGGTCACACCAGCCCTCATGGTCACACCAGCCCTCATGTTCTCACCAGCCCTCATGGTCACACCAGCCCTCATGTTCTCACCAGCCCTCATGTTCTCACCAGCCCTCATGGTCACACCAGCCCTCATGTTCTCACCAGCCCTCATGTTCTCACCAGCCCTCATGTTCTCACCAGCCCTCATGGTCACACCAGCCCTCATGTTCTCGCCAGCCCTCATGTTCTCACCAGCCCTCATGGTCACACCAGCCCTCATGTTCTCACCAGCCCTCATGTTCTCACCAGCCCTCATGTTCTCACCAGCCCTCATGGTCACAAGAGCCCTCATGGTCACACCAGCCCTCATGTTCTCACCAGCCCTCATGGTCACACCAGCCCTCATGTTCTCACCAGCCCTCATGGTCACACCAGCCCTCATGTTCTCACCAGCCCTCATGTTCTCACCAGCCCTCATGTTCTCACCAGCCCTCATGGTCACACCAGCCCTCATGTTCTCGCCAGCCCTCATGTTCTCACCAGCCCTCATGGTCACACCAGCCCTCATGTTCTCATCAGCCCTCATGTTCTCACCAGCCCTCATGGTCACACCAGCCCTCATGTTCTCACCAGCCCTCATGGTCACACCAGCCCTCATGGTCACACCAGCCCTCATGTTTTCACCAGCCCTCATGTTCTCACCAGCCCTCATGTTCTCACCAGCCCTCATGGTCACACCAGCCCTCATGGTCACACCAGCCCTCATGGTCACACCAGCCCTCATGGTCACACCAGCCCTCATGTTTTCACCAGCCCTCATGTTCTCACCAGCCCTCATGGTCACACCAGCCCTCATGGTCACACCAGCCCTCATGTTTTCACCAGCCCTCATGGTCACACCAGCCCTCATGGTCACACCAGCCCTCATGTTTTCACCAGCCCTCATGTTCTCACCAGCCCTCATGGTCACACCAGCCCTCATGGTCACACCAGCCCTCATGTTTTCACCAGCCCTCATGTTCTCACCAGCCCTCATGGTCACACCAGCCCTCATGGTCACACCAGCCCTCATGGTCACACCAGCTCTCATGTTTTCACCAGCCCTCATGTTCTCACCAGCCCTCATGTTCTCACCAGCCCTCATGGTCACACCAGCCCTCATGGTCACACCAGCCCTCATGGTCACACCAGCCCTCATGTTTTCACCAGCCCTCATGTTCTCACCAGCCCTCATGTTCTCACCAGCCCTCATGGTCACACCAGCCCTCATGGTCACACCAGCCCTCATGGTCACACCAGCCCTCATGTTTTCACCAGCCCTCATGTTCTCACCAGCCCTCATGTTCTCACCAGCCCTCATGTTCTCACCAGCCCTCATGGTCACACCAGCCCTCATGTTCTCACCAGCCCTCATGGTCACATCAGCCCTCATGGTCACACCAGTCCTCATGTTCTCACCAGCCCTCATGTTCTCACCAGCCCTCATGTTCTCACCAGCCCTCATGGTCACACCAGCCCTCATGTTCTCACCAGCCCTCATGGTCTCACCAGCCCTCATGGTCACACCAGCCCTCATGGTCACACCAGCCCTCATGGTCACACCAGCCCTCATGTTCTCACCAGCCCTCATGTTCTCACCAGCCCTCATGTTCTCACCAGCCTTCATGGTCACACCAGCCCTCATGGTCACACCAGCCCTCATGTTCTCACCAGCCCTCATGGTCACACCAGCCCTCATGGTCACACCAGCCCTCATGTTCTCACCAGCCCTCATGTTCTCACCAGCCCTCATGCTCACACCAGCCCTCATGCTCACACAGTAAGTCCAACCCGGCCGGCTTTAGATAATTCAGACATTTTCCCTCGCCAATCTAGGGGATTTTATCCAGGATTTTCCTTGATATAGCAGATACCTCGTATGGAACAACTAAAGTATTCCTTGAGTTGGCAGATACGTGGCGCGGGAAGCTCTTCAATCTGTGAAACTTCCTGTTGGTATTGCACGCTCAGAGCGTGGTGAGATATTGCTCCCTGACTCCCTGAATACTTTTCAAGGATGACAACTTTTTTAATCACGGTGAAGACTCATTGGGAGTCGAGGGAAGAGAGTAATATCTCTCTGATTCAGAGTTAAGGCTCCAAGGTCACTGAGGTAAGGCTCTGAGGTCACAGAGACAAAGTTCAGATCACGAAGCATCTAGGTAACATTCAAAATACTAACTGAATGAATGATAGAACTACGAGGGTATACCACTAACTCGTATGAATGATAGAACTACGAGGATATACCACTAACTAGTATGAATGATAGAACTACGAGGATATACCACTAACTGGTATGAATGATAGAACTACGAGGATATACCGCTAACTGGTATGAATGCAGGAATTACGAGAATTACCTACTGATGCCAATGTCTTACACCAGTTTATCAGGACTGACGGATCAGGTTTGGCAGTCATACAGCACGATCTGGAAACCTATTCGTTCACCTTCATTTAATTTTGTGTCATATTTGACCAATTATTATCTTGAAAGATGCAATCTCCAATGATCAAAGGCAACGACGTCATCCCCTACCCAGGAAATTTAATATTTTCAAACTAGCTAATGCTAGATGCAGTGAAAAGGTAAAAATATATCGAACGTTTTTAAAATCATCGTATTTTATCCCATACTGAATACTTTTAGAGTATTTTTAAATCACAGGGAGTCAAAAAAAAAGAATGTTCACTAATCCCTCTATGTTAACATATGGATTTATGTAAATTAAGTCAGAGTTTCCAGATTTCTCATTTGCATACAGATTGATAATCGCTTTTACTATTATTACTCCGCAAAATTTTGCTTTATGTTTTTTAATTATTAAATCAAGTTTAAATCAAAGAATAGACGATAAGATTCACGTGATCAAGAAAGAGTTGGTAAGCAGCTCCTTAAACTTTATGTTTTACAGTAATATTTATGTAAGCAGTAACGATGATGATAATCTGACCAATAGATGTTGAAAATAGCATTTCTACAATCACTGAGGGAAGGGAAAGGAACTTTTAGGAGAAAGTGCCAAGCGATTACGACTATATAACCCTTGGAAGGGATCAGGATAAAGATTTGGGATGGGACGGGGAAAAGGAATGGTGCCCAACCTCTTGGACGGTCGGGGATTGAACGCCGACCTGCATGAAGCCAGACCGTCGCTCTACCGTCTACTTAGGGAGATAAAAATATTTACACTAGCGCTGAGGAGAATAATGGTATTTGCATAAGAACTGAGAAATAGTATTTAGACCCCCTGACTATGCCCAACCACTTGGGCTGGACGGTAGAGCGGCGGTCTCGCTTCTTGCAGGTCGGTGTTCAATCCCCGACCGTCCAAGTGGTTGGGCATTATTCCTTCCCTCGTCTCATCCCAAATCCATATCCTAACCCCTTCCAAGTGCTATATAGTCATAAGGTCAACTTCCCAACAACTTCCACACAACCTTCCCATAACCTCCCCACAACCTCCCAATAACTTCTCCACAACCTCCCCACAACCTCCCCATAACCTCGCCACAACCTCCCCCACAACCTCGCCACAACCTCCGCACAACCTCCCCTACAACCTCCCCACAACCTCGCCACAACCTCCGCACAACCTCCCCTACAACCTCCCCACAACCTAGCCACAACCTGGCCACAGGCCCAGTGTATCACCGGACACTCCTCGCAGGTACACCCAAAGAAGTACCAAAAAGACACCCAGCGAGTCCTGGGCAAAACCCTGAACCACGACGACTCTGTGAACGACCGGTCGCCGGGGTCGAAGTTGTCCACGTCCGACGGCTCCACGAGGCGGCTGTGGGCTCAGGCCTTCGGGGAGACCTTCAGCAGGAACGGCTCCATGTTTCGTGGTGATCCTCCGGCGTGTGTGATCCAACCCATCCCGCCAGAGCTGAAGAAGGCGGCGCTGGGGTCAGCTTTCCAACTCCACGTCAGGAAGGTGAGACTCTAGTGGAAAATTTCTTGACTGAGGAAAATTTCTTGACTCTGTGGAAAATTTCTTGACTCTGTGGAAAATTTCTTGACTCTGTGGAAAATTTCTTGACTCTGTGGAAAACGTCTCTGTAATTTTACGCTTGTAATTTCTTAACTCTTGAATGTGGAAAATTCATAATTTGCAACCCAGAGAAATTAAAAAAGGGAAAGTGGTTACGTTTTGGGGTCAGTCCTAAACTCTTATTTTCTGAATATATCAAATGTTACTTGACAATCTTGACATCAGTAACTTGAGTTACTTGACATCAGAGTATCTTGCTCTGATGACGGCGAATTGTGCCGAAAACGCGTTCAGTATTCTCCAATTTCCAAATGTAGTTTTTCCGCTTATTCATATAATGGCTATACCGGAGAGTGTGTTCAACCTTCGGTGACTAAAACTTACCTCAATTCCTCGACAGGTGGCGATCGGCGGCGCGCCTCCTGGGACTCTAAAAATCAAGTTGCTCCACCAGGTAAAGTGAGGTTATGTTTACTGTGTTTGGCAACCCAAGCTCGCACACTTGTATATCATACTTTCAGACTTGCTGTTTTAGTTCCTCATTCTCTCGTAAGGTGGCTTGTCAACTCACACTCTCACACTGTTGCTCCGTTCCTCATATTTTCACAATGTTGCTTAGTTTGTCATACTCTATAGGTTGTCACCTCACTCTTTCACACTGAGGCTCACACTCCAACTGAGTACCTCACACTCCAACTGTAACTGGGGGGTTCTCTCACTCTCACAAAGTACAGTTGCATAGATTAAATTATAGACTCTCACATTTATTATAAAGGAAAATTTCAAAATGCATTTTTCTCCCAATCACAATAGACTTGATAATGGTCCAGGACGGACCGAAACGTCGTCGTCTCCTTATCTTCTGGTGTGTGGTTTAGTAATCATATCTTCAGCCACGTTATTGTGACTTGTCGTTTGCATTTTTCTTATTATAAAATAGGTATTTTGACTGTCACAATTTCACAAATAAGAAATATATTTACAGCATCTTGCTTACATTAATATTCTACAACAATCTCAATATGAAGGCAATGCAACAACATATCATTTAAGGTGTCTTTCAGTGCACAAACAACAACACTTTCAAAGATCACATCATTTCTACAAGTAAGTTGTCAACTTATTCATCACGGGTTCTTCCCTGTGTAACTGCTGAGTTGGGGATTGTGTTTTCCATGTTTACATTCCTTCTTCTGCTCTTCTTTCTTGCTTCTGCTACTGCTCTCCTCTCCCTTCTTTAGTCATATTCCTCCAGGTCAATCTTGAAATATTTAGACGTTTACACATCTTTACTAGAATTGTGTCTTTCATGGTCTCGTTCCTAAATACTATAATTACCAGTCAGTTTCATTTCTTGCTGTACTTGCCTAGCCTGAGAAACTTGCATGTGTACGTGTACGTGCGCTCTTACAGAACTGTACTCACCTGCTACTTAGCTAATGCTTAGTTCTGAGATTAAGCTCCAGCTTACTGTCACCGAGTTTAGGTGTTAGTGGTCATGGAACGAGTTTGTTAGCTCTGAACTGTCGAGATCCAAGGCATCAGCTGTTCGACAGTTTGACAGATTCATTACTAAAAACGAGGTCCTCCAAGCTTGGCCTGGCCGGTAGAGCGACAGTCTCGTTTCATGCAGGTCTTCGTTGAACTCCCGACCGTCCAAGTGGTTAGGCACTATTCCTTCCCAATTCTGATCCCTTCTAAGTGCTATATATAATAGCTTGGCGCATTTTCCTTACAGTTCTCTTCCCTTCTATGCCTAGACAAGACTTTCTCTTACTCGGGAATGGAGGCTCTTCATTCCAAATAAAAGGTCCTGCAGAATTCGACCATTCTCGAATTCGACCTGGACCATTCTCAATCGACTTGAGAATGGTCCAGGACGGACCGAAACGTCGTCGTCCCTTCAATTTCTAGTGTGTGGTCTGGTCAACATCCTGCAGAATTGTTTTTCAACATAAAGTGAGATTATTATGAGGTGAAAGCTATAAGCCAGTACGATTGGATTGCATCTGGAAGGGATATGAGTGCATGGAACTGGGATAGAACTGTGGGAAAGAATAGTGTGCAACTCCCTTAGGCAAATGGGGATCGAATACCAACCTGCAATAAACGAGGTCGACGCCGTATCCACCAGTCCAAGTGGTTGGGTCATTTTTTTCATGGTAGAAATACCAAACTTCCCATAGCCGGGAGGATAACGATAAAAGGTTCATTCTTGCGGCAGAAGTTGCGTTTGCTGGCCCCAAAATGTGTCCACGCAGTGTTGGTTCTCACTCTATTCCCGACACCAACTGCAGTTGCCCTACAAATATCAGCAAGCGCTTCGCTTCGTGGAAATAACAGTTGGCAGCGACGCCATACCTTCTCTGTGTGTCGGGCTCTGCATCCGGTCGACCCCCTGGCACTAACATTAGTGTACCAAACGGTACCTTTTATGTGCCAAGAGGTACCATTTATGTACAGAGCTGTACCCTTTATGCATCAAGAGGTACAATTTATGTACCGAGCTGTACCATTTAAGTACCGAGGCGTAACCTCTATCAACCAAACAACAACATTTGCGCATTGTGCGGTAAAAAAAATCTCTATTACGGTCTTTTCCTGCGAATTATCGTGCGCTTGGAATTCCATCAAATCAGAGCCGCCTGGTGGCAGTGTTTAACATGTCGTTATCAATAATGCGGATGTTCCCCCTGGGTTGGTAACGTGCTTCCTAGCCTGCAGCAGGTCGCCTGCGTTTTCTGGTCAATGTTTGGTATGTATATCCTGCGCTGGATAGCCTACGTTCCATGGTCTACGATACCTGGTCTGGACTACGCTATCTGGCTTGGAGTTAGTGACCTACGTAAGCCGGATCTAAGACGGAAACCCAAATTTTCGAGAGCCAGACTTTAGGCCAAGTTTCATCAAGCCTTTTACGAAACGTGTACATCTTTTCCTAATAAACAGCGGCTTTGTTTATATCTATTTAACAGTTTACGAGCTTCGAAATTTCACAACCTACAGTTATTATGGCTATGAACAACCTCGGAGTGCATCGAAATGCATAAACCTTTCATTGATGTAAACAAAACCGCCATGATTGAGGAGAGATCTACAGGTTTCGCAAGTGGATTGCATGAGTCGTGGCCCCCTGGAGGCGTGCAAGGAACGCCGAGGTTAAGCACCACACTCTCACAAGAGTGTGGGTGTCGTGGGGATAAATCTTCTCCAGTCTTCAAACACGCTAGCAAACACGACTTTCATCTTCAACACGGCTTCAGGTTCCCTTAGAGAGAGAGAGAATATAGATTTTGCACCATTACCGCCCATTAGCGCTTTACCCTCTACCTTCATCCCATTACTGCCCCTTAGTGTTTTACTCTCCCCCCTTTCCCCTCATCCCCACTACTGCCCCTTAGGGCATAACACACTCTTCCTTCGGGGACGTCGTTTCCTCTCCACGAGTTGCTCCCGTGGGGAATATACTCCAAATTTTCAACTATTTGGCAGCTACAATATTCCCGTTTTGAGGTATTGGGTCGAGCTCAGATGTTCTTACACTAATCCCTTTGATCAGGGGTTTAAAGCTTTTACCAACCTTCAGCATCGGCTTAAGAATCTCGTCCCCCCAAAAATTGTTTTTAATGTGCATTTTTAGTGAAACGTTATCATCATCAATGGATCTAATTATCTATTGACAGCGGGCTGTCAATAGATAGCGTAGTGACTATCTTATTTACAAACACAGTCAATACTAATTTAAGAATCTTATCTCTTATAAGGATAATAGTCTTATCTCCGAGGACACAGAACCCGGGATATAATCTTTAGTTTACTGTTAATCCACTAGGAATAAATACTAATTACAGTCAATACTAATTTAAGAATCAAGACCAGGATTCCCTAAACATTTAGGCAACCTCTTGCGAAGCCTGTATATCTTTTCTCAATCATAACGGCTTCACTTATATTTATTAAACAGTTTGTGAGCTCCGAAGCCCTGTGAGGTTGTTTATAACAACATATTGTGGACGTTACAAGGTCGTAAACAGTGTTTATAAATGTAAACAATATGTCACGATTGATGAAAGATGTACAGGTTTCGTATGGGGTTGTGAAAAGGATTTAATGAAACCCGACTGAGAGCTTCTTCTCTGGTCCAATTACACTGTAATTAACATGACTGCCTCCAGAGATATGTTTGCAAACAGGACCACAATTGCAAACAATGTCCTTGCAGGTGATTGTTGGTGAACAATTGGTGGTTCAAAAATACTTCTTTACAATCGTCACAAGAACACTACTGTTCACATTAGTTACTGGGAGACCAAACACTCACACACATCAGCTACTTGGAGACCGGATACCCACATACCAACTACTTGGAGACCGGATACCCACATACCAACTACTTGGAGACCGGATACCCACATACCAACTACTTGGAGACCGGATACCCACATACCAATTACTTGGAGACCGGATACCCATATACCAACTACTTGGAGACCGGATATCCACATACCAACTACTTGGAGACCGGATATCCACATACCAACTACTTGGAGACCGGATACCCACATACCAATTACTTGGAGACCGGATACCCACATACCAATTACTTGGAGACCGGATACCCATATATCAACTACTGGGAGATCAAACAAGCACACATTAACTCAGTAAGACAAAAATACCAAATGTTCAACATTCTAAGATCATTTCTGCCAATTCCCTTAATTTGGTAATAAGGTAAAAATGAAACAATTTTACCTAATCAGGAACTTATCAACCTAACGTTAATATCACGGTGGATTAATATGCTCTAATACGTCAACACAAAATTCGACGTATTGGATGATTGCGTTAAAAATACGACGTATGAGGTGATAAGACGGATTGTTAAGCTTGAAGAAGGCTGTGGTTTAACTTCTTGATGCAGGATAATAGTCTTATCTCCGAGGACACAGAACCCGGGATATAATCCTTAGTTTACTGTTAATCCACTAGGATTAAATAGCAGATATTGTTCATTGCACATTACCACAAACTATTCACGCAACGACACCTTGAAGGAGCTTGTCTACCCAGGACACATAATATAGTTGAACATAATTGGCCAATGTCTTTAAGATGGGGTCGACTCCCATTGCGACAACACCCCCCCCCCCCCTCCCCCCCTGTAATGTCTGATATGATGGTGGTTATTCCC